ATAATGAAGTGAATGAACCTTCAATATATTGCTAACCCAATACAAACCCATGCTAAAAGCTGACACCACCTGACCAAAACCCACAATATTCCCCCACAAGAGAACCAGTTTTAATATATAGACCACCCATTTAGCTCACAGATACCCAATGATACACAAACTCCAGTTTTGAAATTGGCAGCAAATAAATAGTTCCTACTGCTTCAGTATGCAATCTCCTGTCAGTAGCATGTGGAAAGAAAAGAGAATCGTTATTTTGGGTTTTATTGTAAAAAAAAAAAAATAGTGTCAAAATTCTATAGCTGGGTCCATACAGCCAGGGTTTTGTGTCTCTGTTTGTGGTTTCTGTGAACAGCTATTCATTCACTCATTTTTGTGTGTAAGAAAAATGACACTTTCAGAAGCAGGACACTTCCCCCCCCCTAACCATTTTACATTCAGGAATCTCACTAACTTCAAGAGAGAAGCCTGAGAAGCACAATGAATCCCCTTGTTGATCTCTCAAGGTGTTTTCTTTTCATTAGACTTGCAAATAACTCTGCACATAAGTCGCTCACTAACCTATAATTTTTCTCTCACCCACCTACCCACACGCCACTAGGACAGTCAGTGAGGCACCATGTCAAGGACTCCAAAAGGGAGTAGGTGGGGAAATCCTGGGATACTAACTTTATCCCAGTTTACAAAAGCTTCTCTGATTTGTTGCCTGCAGAAAACTTTTATGCACCTTTGGTGATCAGGTGACTGGCTATTAATACCCTTCCTTTAAATTCAGAGGGCTATCTTTAGTGCTTGTTTTCCTAAATGCTCAAGCAAAGCAAAGTAGTGTCTGGGTATGGTCAGTGTCTGGGTATGGAAGCACTTGAGAACCCAACATATAATACAACACTGGCATTCTGCTCATTTTTCAAGTTGGGAGAGAGAGAGAGAGAGCTTGCTTGTCTCCCGGAGCTACTTTGAATAAATGAGTTTATTCATCTCGAGCACCTCTACCAGCAGGTCCTGTATTTTAAAAGGTGAGAAGGGGAATCAGAGAAAGTCTTTAACATTTCCACTTATTTTCTGCTAAGCTTTCTAAACAACTGGAGGTCTGGAATGTGTGCTGATTCCTGGGAGACAGTATGGGAACAATTAAAGCATAGTTTCATATGAATATCAACCACCACATTAACAAATACTGAAATAATTTTAGAATGCTGCAGAGGTCTTTCTAAACAATCTGTGGTCGCAATTCTACATGCACCCACTTAAGAATAATCCCATTAAATTTAACAGGGCACACTTATACAGCATTCAGCTGTGTATATGCAGTAGAATCCTGCAGAATGGTATTGAAGCATGGGAGGGGGGGTCCCATCCCAAAATATTGAGGGCGGTACCCCTCCTACTCAGTTCATGAGCTGCCTATGCTGATCAAGTCAGAAGCAAATTGCACCTCATTTATTTATGTTTAATCTCACAGATGTTTCAAAGGGTGCAATTTTATACAGAAGCTTAAATACATTGTTTATCACAAATGTTATAGACCACATTTTTTCCTGCATGCATTGTTTGATAAGAGAGGTTCCTGATCTTAAATATCTCTTTAACTACACCAAAGAAGCACATACCAGAAAACTAGAAAAACTACTTAAGGGCTTTTCTAGGAAAAGAAACAGAGAAGGGGTGAATCCAATAGGACATTTTACACATACAAGATTCAAAATGTGACCTCCCCAAACCCCCAAAAAACTATGCATGTGACTTCAGCAAAGCTTGGGAAAAGCTTTTTAGACTTCAGTTTCCAGAATCCAGCCTGCGGCATGTCCACTGGCATTTGAATTATCTCCTTGTCTCTTTTACTTTCCCCCATTCCTCAGTTCCTCCACTCCTCTGTCCCTTCTTTCTTTCTTTCTTTCTTTCTCTATCTCCTTGCCTCTTTTTCTTTCTTTCTTTCTTTCTTTCTTTCTTTCTTTCTTTCTTTCTTTCTTTCTTTCTTTCTTTTTCTTTCTTTCTTTCTTTCTTTCTTTCTTTCTTTCTTTCTTGCAAATGCTGCCTCAGGGAGCCACTTCACATTGCCTAATGTGTGGGCCACAGCTTTAAAAAATTACATTTTGGACTGCAAATTTCAGAAACCCCAAGCCACTAGAAATTGTAATCCAAAAAAGTAACTTTTCCAAGCATTGGATGCCCAGCCTACCTACATATACACTTAAGATGTCAATCCCGATGTTTGCAGCTGGACTTTCTTCCAAGTAAGCCTTCCTAAGAGGATCAGAAAGGCCCTTGAGAAATCGGCACCATGCAACTGAAACTCCTGCCAACATATTTTCAGTCATCTGAGCTGCATTTGGAGAAAGAGACTTTCATTCCATCAGAAACAATCCACAACACGTGCTTTTCAGCACTCCTGAGTTCCCTAGGGGCACCTAAGGAACAAAGCAGGTAGCCAGACCGACAGAGAGACAAAGCTCCAAATCCCGTCGGGATTTGACAAGAGAAAGAAAGCTTAGGAAAATAAGGACGGTGCGTTCCCTCTTCAGAGAGAAGGCCCTTCTTAAATGGCTTCATTACTCAGGAAGTAAAGCAATAGTTCGAGACCAGCACGTGGACTCCTGGCCCGGGTCGGAGGGAGAGGGGAGTGGGAGGGAGCGATCCACTCATCTCCAAGCGAGAGGTGATTTTGGAAATGGAACTGGATCCGGTCCATCCCCGTCGGACCAGCAGGGGGCAGCAAGACTGAGTGAGGTGACTGACACGCCAAGTCCAGGAGCTGATCAGGAGCCCAGAGGCTCAAAGGGGAGGCGTGTATCACAGAGCACCTTTCCGGTCCTAACGTGCGGCTAGGGTTGATCCGCCAAGATCCCCAAACAGGAGAACCGATTACCATCATCATTAGATAGACTTTAATAATGGCGGTTTCCTTCAGACACACCTCAAGCTTTGTGCTCTGGAAAAGCCAGGGCTAACGGATGCAACATCTGGACGAGGGACAAGAACCTTCTGCGAGTAGTTTTTTCTTCTTTCTATTTTTCCCTCCCGATGCGTGGATTTGACCAGACATTGTTAATCGGTCCATATAATCCTTGCAAACTACGAAAAAATACAGGTAACTAACAGGTACTCTACATTTCCTTTTGTTCATCTTCATACAAATAGACACACGCTCAATCGTTTCAAGAGTTTTCACTGGACGGAGCCCAAGGTTAACGGACAATGAGATCAGACGCAGTGGCGATCCCCGGAGAAGGGAATCTCCCTGCAAGAGCCACAGACACGAGTTTTCTGCAATATCACGTATTGGGCGGACGCTCCGCCGTCTATGGTGTAGTTATTCCAAAATGAAGCATTCTGTTTAAGAGATGGGATTGGGTCCCGAGCAAAGCCAGATGCAGAGAAGGAAGGAAGATGTCCCCTCCTATGACTGCCCTCTTCCCGCACATCTGAACACCCTCCCCCAACACACACACACGCATATACACCTCTTCTCCCCACCGCTTCTCTTGCTCATTGAAAGCACAAGCCTCCCCTTTAGACGGGACGCTGACAGGAACTGCACCCTGCGAATACATGTGCCCACAGACACCTAACGGACCACTCACTCGACTCCACTGGCTCTGCCCAAGGATGCACCTAAGGGGAGGAGAGAGGGAGGAGATTCCTGGCGCCTCTATGCTCTGCGCTCCTGTCAAGAGCCTTGCCACGTAAGCTGGGCAGAATCAGCTGGGGCTGGGTCTCTCTCTCTCTCTCTCTTCCCCCCCCCCTCTGTTGTGCATATGTGTGTGCGTGCGTGCGGGTGTCTGGAATAAACAATTAGAAATGCCGAACAGGTAAGGTGCCATTTGGTTCCAACTCTATTCAGTCTTTCCCCCGGGCCCCACCACACTCTCACGCCTCCGACAAAGATCTCTGCGTCAACCCAAAGGTGGCACCGTCTGTCATGTCACTGACAGCTGTCACTTAGCGTTGGCTTTCCAAGAAAAGTTCCACGCACCCCAAAGCAGGAGTGACAACGTCCGTCTGGCCTCCGCTCGAGGCCGGTTCTTTCCACCGGAGACACATCCGAGAGCTGAGATTGTTTTTGTCCTTGCGGGGAAAAAGCGTGCTGACTTTCTGAAACCGAAGGATCGTACCTCCTACTTGGATCACAGTTCACCAAGTCCCACTCCCCACCCTCACCTGTCTCTCTTTACTTTCTTTCTCTTCGACCAAGATTCCCTGAACCTGGTCAGTTTAAAGGCTTGGGAAAGTTTAAGGGGGAGCAATTTGAAAAAAAAAAATCCAAACTTTTTTGTGTGCTTGTATCTCAATAGGTTGAAAAACTGACCAGCCACACCAAGCAAAGTTGCTTTGTTCCTAAAGTCCCGTACTTTCTCTCCCACTTTCAGGATCTTCCACCCACCCTCTTCTTCCCAAGCCTTCTTCCCGCTTCGCTACACGACCCTTTTAAAGCATCCAAAGAAACGAGGGGGCAAGGGACAGACGTTAGCCGTCCGATCCTGCGAGGATTTACTTGGAAGTAAACCCTAAGTTCAGCGAGACTTGCATCCCTCCGGGACAATAATTGGGCTGGGGATGCTTGTGTGTGTGTGGGGGGGGGTACCGCTAACCCTGCCGGCCAAAGAGGTTCCTTCCGTCCAGCCAAGGGAGTCCCCTCAGCCTTTCTCCACAGGTCTTCATAGACGTGTCTACAGCTGCCCCTTATAGATTCTGGCGACGAGCGTGCCTTAATATGGGGGTATACATTAGCTCACAGATTTGGTTCCAGTGCCAAATGGCTCGGCAACCATGAGGGAAGCGTGATCTCCGGAGCATGTGCAAAGTCACTTTCCCCTCTAACCCCTGAACAATTCGCAAATCGACGTTAGGTCAGGGTCAGGATCCTGGAGGGGCAGGGTTTTCGCCACCTCCGGCTTCAGAAATCCTCCCCATCTCTATCCCACAACCCCCCGAGTGAGTAAGGAGAGAGAGAGAGAGAGCTGGCCTCGGTGGGGGACTGGACGTGCTCCTGACTCTCTTACCTCCTTTGACCTCAGTCGCCCGGAGCAGGAGCGTGCAAGTGATGAGGAGCGCGGACCAAGCGGCATCCCCGAACCACCGTTTCGTCTTCCACCTGGTGGACCATCTCCGCCTCGTCGTCTCCATGGCTTGGGGCTCTCCTCTTGAGCAGAACACCACCCCCACCAAGCGGGTCAATCCCGACCCGCCGCCGCCGCCGCCGTCGGGGCGCCTTGGGCCCCCGCGCTCCGCTCCTCGAGCGGCTGGCTCGCCCGCCGTCTCCTCCTTGCCCAACTTTATATTCCACGAGACGCTTTCCCTCAGCAAACCATGGGTCCCAAAACAGAGCTGGGGGAGAGGAAGCAACTGCCCCAAGGAAGGAGGAGGAGGAGGGAGCGGGTCAAGGGGAGTAGGGTGGAAGGGTGAGGGGGCGGCCGGCTCTGGTCGTTGTTGCTCGGTTCAAGGCCCCGCCGGTGCGTCCTCCCGAGCGCCCTCCTTCCAACTGAAAAGGAGGCGAGGGGCTTCAGTCCACACTCGGAGAGCTCAGCATCCCCCCTCAAGGCTCCATCCCGTAAAGAAGGCTGGCCAAGAGGCGCACGGGGAGAACGCAGCAGCAGCAGCAGCAGGCGCGAGCGGCCAGCCCACCTCTTCCTCCGACATCATCTTGCCGACAAAGGTCCGCATAGTCAAAGCTATGGTTTTTCAAGTAGCGATGTATGGAAGTGAGAAATAGACCATAAAGAAAGCTGACTGCCGAACCGCCTCCCACTCCCCCAGGAGCCGAAACTGACAAGGAGGCTGGCGACCGGGAGCCAATGGTACGCCTCCTTCGGCAGCCGCAGCCACGCCCACGACCCTCCCCTCTCCATTGCCAAAGGAGACCCGAGGCGACTGCTCTCTGACTTTCTATTCACCCAAAAGAAGCGGGAACGGAGCCCGGCCCCTACCTGGCGGCGAGGCAGCTGCCTCGGGCAGGAAAGGGAGAAATGGAGAGAGAGCAGCAGCAAAGAAGAGTGGGACTCAGTTTCATGGTTGCCGAGGGAGCCTTTGCTCCATGGGCTCGAGTTAGACTTCTGCCTTCAGAGGCGGCGATGACTGGACATCCGTCGACCCCTGTCAAAATGCCACAGGGTGCCCCACCTCGACATTTTTGACGGGGCGCCACTCCTGCCTGCTCACTCCACAAGCTGCTTTAAAAGACCCCGTCCGGTTTTCTTCTGTGCTTGAAACTGAGAAAAGCGCCAGCTTCAGAGAAGCATCTCAAGGAGCAAAATCGCTTAGGATTTCAGCAAGGCTGCTCCCCTGATAGTTTGTTGCCTGAGGCAAAAACAATATGTAGCGCCCTTCCTGCCATCATGATACATAGTACCCAAGGCCAACCAAACTGACACTTGAGGGGGGGGAATCCATCTAGTAAAAATTCAATAATTATATGAACTACCAGTCTGATAATTTTTATCATGCACCATACCTGCTACCTGAGACAGGTCTTTGTCTCATGACAGAACCAGGTAGAAGGAAGCAGCATTGGCCTGGACCTTGGGGAATGAACAGAAAGTGGCCAGAGAGGGAGAGACTTGCCTCAGGAGAAGGGCTGAGACTTGGGGTTTCAGGGCTGTCATGTTTTTTTTTAGTGGTTCCAGAAAAGTTCTTAGACAACAGATCGAAACTAGTGTCCGCACACATACACACTTCTTTTAATTGCTTATAAGTCTCCAAAAGCAACATTGTACAAAGCACTTGTGTGGCATTCTGGCTCTTATTCTCCACAGGCGATCTGACATGGGATGAATTGCAAGCCTCTTTACAGTATGTCCCAAGGTGTCTAGACGTCTTTATCCATTTATCTAACAATAAAGAAAGAGGTATCTTTCAGCAAGTGCAGAAGCTCATTCGCTCAACCCAATACATATTCAAATCTTTATGTGGCCATAAAGTCATGGTGATTCTAGTGGGGTTTCTGAGGTATGTAAGTTATTTAAGGAAGGGTTTTACCAGTGTCACGAATTTCCATGACCACATAGACTTGAATGAGCATATCCTGAGTCCAAGGATGACATTCTGTCTACTACACACTGCTTCTCATATCTGAGAATCCACCACTGGTTCTAGATTCAAGAAAGTAAGCACACATTAAACCTTGAAGAAGACATTTTAAACTCATGGATTCTAGCCACTGATCTCAAGATATCGCTGAATTACAAATCCCATCAACCCCAGATTAATGGCGATGGACTGTAGTAAAAAATATCTGGATATTTCACTGTTTTCCAGGTCTCAGAAGTGCTTTGTGATTTATCAAAATACAGAGTGAAGGTGATAAACTCTAGCTTCAGCCTCAGTCTCCTGTTAGCATGTGATGATTCAGGGAAAGCAAGGCTGCTATACAGTAGATCCCAGTAATACAGTTGTGTGTGCATACATGCAAGGACAAGTGTGTGAATGTGTTTCCATTCCAATACTGATATATCCAATATGATCCAGGAAATATCATGAATTCCTTTTGAGTATTAGGCAGCTGGGGTCTAATTCAACCCCGGATACAGATTAATTGGGAAGCATTGGGAAGGCTCAACTTCAGTTATCCATGAATAAAAAGGGAGGAGTCCAGTGGAAAACATATGTATGCTGGGTTTGAAACAGATCCCACTGAATGCAATGTAACTGGTTTGGAAGAGAGACAGCTACAAGATAGGGTGTCTTATTCTTACTACCTAGAGTGATTGTGGGAAGGAATAGCACAAGAATGCGAAAGTATCTGATGTAGGCCAAGTGTAAGTGACAATGATAGACTTCAGCAAATGGTAGGAGGTTCCACTGAATTAATTGGGACAAAATACTCTGAGCACCAGATAGGGTTGACTTTGGTTGCTTAAATGTCCTAACTAGAAATATAGAATTCCTGCTATATATCCACACTGAAGAGTAGTTTTTTTTGGTCTCAGCTTTAACCATTTTGCACTAGGTGATCTCACTGGAAGTGCAAACTCATATAGTATTCTGTAAGACTCCTGACAGTGCTGTTCTCAACTTTGATAATATTACTTGACTGTTCAGAATATATGCAGAATACAGCACATGGAAATTTATATTAGATTCAGAGGAAGTGGGGAGCTAAAATGCTTGGATGAAACATAAATAATCTAAAATATGCTGAGGACACTGGCAGAAAACATCAATGACTTGAAATGACTGCTGATGAACATGAAACAAGAAAATGCAAAAGCAGATTACAGCTGAATGGGAGGAAAGCAAAAAAGAACGACTGCCAAAGAATTGCATAACGTTAATGCTGACAATGAAGAAATCAAAATCGGTAAAGATGTTCTGTATACTTCAATCATCAATCTAAATGGAGACTGCAAGGGAGAAAGCAGAAGACTGAGACTGGAAGAGTAGCTATGAAACCAGAAACTATATTTAAGACTAAAGATGCTCTCTTACTGGAGAACAAAGCCAAAATCATCCATATTATGCTACTCCCAGCTACTACATACAGATGTTAAAGCTGGACAAGGAAGGAAGGAAGGAAGGAAGGAAGGAAGGAGGAGGACTTTACATGTTTACATAGACCACAAATAACCAGCAAGACAAATAAATGGGTTCTAGATCAAATGAAGCCTGCAGTCTCACTAAAGACTAGTTACATGGAGGCTGTGATTCTTTGCACAGCTGTGGATATGAGCATACTGTATATGAATGTTTTGTGAAAATGTGGGCAGAGGCAAGAAGATGAGTCTGTTTACCTGCATTTACAGTTTGTGCTTGTTGCCCCCTTACAAGTTGCTACACGTAGCCCTCAACAAAAGAAATATTGCTTGCGCCCTACTATATGTCTAGCCAAAATCATTCCACCCTTCATGTCCTACCTGACAAAGTCCTCAGAGAATGACTGCAGCAGAGCTCTGGAAATGAGCTTGATGCCTCAAATGGCAGTTATAGCCCAGAGACACCAGAGGCAAAGCCTGTCCCGCCTCAAAAAGGCTCATTCCTTCCAAAGAGAGATCAAAGCACAGAGTGAGATGGAACATCTTTGGCAAAATTATTTGAGTTGTTAGGAGTGACCAAGTAACTGAAGCTGGTGTAAGGGAGTGTGCCTATACTGCAGACAGATACAATAGAGTCCAAACATCCATGTTTTATTATTGCTACCAGCTGCAAAGATCCATTGTTCCCTTAACTCAGTGGTCACCAACCTTGAGCCTCCAGATGTTCTTGGAATACAACTCCCAGAAGCCTTCACCACCACCTCTGCTGGCCAGGATTTCTGGGAGTTGAAGTCCAAGAACATCTGGAGGCCCAAGGTTGGGGACCACTGCCTTTACTGACAGCCAATCTAACCTGGATTGCGTCTTGACTTTGTTTCACCTGTTATCTGACTTTATCACTCGCCTGGGAAGGCCTGGATTAATGAATGGACTCTAACTGACATGCTGACAATAGCTGGGTTTACTTTCTTGATTATAACCAGGGCGGAGCCCTAGAAAGGACTGGCCATATGACCAACCCTGCTGCATAATAGTGACTAAATCATCTTTGGCAGCGAGCCTGTTGAGGAGGACTGAGACCTTTTACTGGGTATGATGAGAAGGGGTAGTCTGGGTGTTCAATGTCTTGCAATTCATCCCATGTCAGATCGCCTGTGGAGAATAAGCGCCAGAATGCCACACAAGTGCTTTTTACAATGTTGCTTCTGGAGACTTATAAGCAATTAAAAGAAGTGTGTATGTGTGCTGGGGTCCCCAAGGCTTTTGGTCTTGGGTGACTTCAACATGCATGCAGAGGTGGAGGTTTCCTGTCCAGCTCTTGAGTTCTTGGAGAACATGGCCTCCTTGGACATGTCCCAACATGTCATTGGCCCTTCCCACGTGGGTGACCACACACTGGACCTGGTGTTCTCCACTGAGCAGAGTGAGTGTGCTCTGATGGCGACTGACCTAGTGTCTGTTCCCTTCTCATGGTCAGATCATTGCCTAATTAAATTCAATCTCGCAGTGGCTCCCCCTCCCCACGGGGAGCAAGAACCTGTTTTAATGGTTTGATCTCAAAAGTTATTGGATCCTATAGGATTCCAGGACACCATGAGAGGGATTCCAACCAATTTGACTGGCGCTCCTGTCAGGCCGGGCGGCTGAGGGGCCTAACGCCAAGGGAGGTCCAGAAGGAAAGAAGAAGGAGTAGGGCCTTCTTGGCAGTGGCCCCTCATCTTTGGAATAACTTGCCAGTGGAGGTCCACCTGGCTCTCCTTCTGGGTGTTTTCAGGAATAAATTTAAAACCTGGCTATTTGGGCAGGCTTTCCCTCCTGCCATAGTTTAACTGCCCTATCTTAATTACTTATACTTCGCCATTTTGGACGAAGGTTTTATTGGTTTTAGTTTCAGTTTTTATTGTTTTTAAATTTGTAAACCAGCCAGAGTAGACCCTTGGTCTAGATGGGCGGGATAGAAATCTAATAAATGAATGAATGAATGAATGAATGAATGAATGAATGAATGAATGAATGAATGAATGAATGAATAGTTACTGGTCCCCCAGTGTATTAACTCAATTTGGCTCTGGAGTTCTCCATTGCTCCTAGACAGAGATTGCAGATTG